AGTTAAAATATGTGACTCAAGCTATTGTTATTCATTGCCAGAAAGCTCACTTACTGACATTTCTCTGACACTGACATATCATGGAGTATAATCAATAATTAGCGCATTTGCATCTGCTTGTACTACTTTTAACCTTTATATGGTATAATAGCATTCATATTTGCAAAAATTACAGTTTACAATTATTTTTAGAAATGTTACTCAGAAATATTTCTGAAAAACATATAATTATACCTGTTGCCTTCTCTCATCAGAATTTGTCAAATATGACAACAATTTTAGCTATCTATAATTTTCAGTTATACATTTTTCCAGCCTACCAGATGAAAGTGCTTGTGGGTAGTGATGTTTCTTTCCCAGGTGCATTCTAATTGTTTGGACATGCAGCAGTTTATCTCAGTAAACTCAAGGGTAAAATTTATCAATGAACTGATAATGCTATTCTGGAAATATTGCAGTTGATGACCAAGTTTACCATAAAGTACATGTAAACACAAGCGCTAAAATTTCTAACAAACTTTAAAGTAGTTCTAAAGGCATAACGTTTTTTACCATAATGCATTTTGTGCATTAAAGTAAAAAACCTTCTGCATGCAGCTGCCCCCCAGCCCCTCTTATACTTACCTGAGTTCAAACTTGATTCAGCACTGTCTTGGCTCTCTCCTTCCTCATTGGCTCAGAAATAGAGGCTATTGGCTACAAGCAGCTTGCTATAGGGCACTCAACAGAGGAGGAGGGGGCCAAGAGCACCATCATGGGACCCAAGAAGAGGGGGATCAGGACTGCTCTGTGCAAAACCATTACACAGGAAAAGTTTGACTTGTTTAAAAAATAACCCTTTACAATAACTTTAACATGGTTGTTTCATGGTAGTTTCAAAAGTCACTTTCAATCCTTCTAAATCTGCAGCTTTCCAAAAATACCTGGTTATCCTACCATGAAGCTCCTTGCACAGGCACATCCTGGTATGCTATGGCAACTGTCTCTCAATCCTGCTCCTGAGTTCTTGTCCTGTCACATGCAACACAGGTTGGGGTTTATTTACTAAAGCTGGAACGTGCAAAATCAGGCTCACTTCTGCATAGAAACCAATCAGCTTCCAGGTTTTATTGTCAAAGCCTAATTGAACAAGCTGAGGTTGGAAGCTGATTGGTTTCTATGCAGAAGTGAGTCTGATTTTGCACTCTCCAGCTTTAGTAAATAAACCGCACAGTGTGCAGACATGGGGCAACATTGTCACTATAAGGAAGCTGGTCCAACTGGGAGGGTTGAGCAAAAACTGGGCCTAGGATCCGAAGAGGCTCCACAAGGACCCACAGATTGATTTGAAGACTGGCACATGTTTTTGATAGTGTTAATAATTTGCCCCTCTTTTACCAATCAAAGCAATCCCAGACAACAAGTGAAATCAGTCAAGCAATGTGCTACCAATACTTTGCAACACAGTTCAGCTACACTGATGTAATGCCCTCTAGGTTAGCTAGATATGCTTTCTGTTAGATAGAGGCTGAGTAGCAGCCTGGGATGAGTCTTCCTGGGTGTGAGTTCACCTCAGGACAGGCTGGGAGGCTCTACAGGCCAGGGCTTCTGGAGCCCTCCCACCTTTCCACAAACTTAAGAACCTTCTGGAACAGAGGAGAAAGCCCAGATCTGCATGTTTAAGGGACCTTGGCAAAACCCCTGGCAGGAGGCTGGGCATGGTGACCATGGCAATTCTCAAATATGAGAGAGTCTCGGGAGAGAGAGAAGTCAGATGGAAGATGGATTGAGAGGAAGGCTGGAGTGTGGAGCTTGGGAGGGGGCCCCGGGGATGGGAGCCTACCTACAGTCTGGTTGCTGGATGGGAGGATCTCCACTGCCTAAAGTCTCCTGGGGAGGACATCCTCAGCAGCAGGGAAGAAGCCAGCCAAGTGAAAGACCTGAAAGCAGCTACAAACCCACAGGACAGGACAGTGTGAGTACTCCTACACCTCCTCGTCCGGATAAAGGGAGAGGGCGGTCAGGTGCAATATACAACTAGTCTTCCCCTGGGACTGCTTAACTGCAAGCTCTTGGGACCCCCTTGTTTAGGGATACCCTCAGCACAGTTGGATGAAGAGGAGGATTCATCCGGGGTCTGGGAAAGTACACCAAAAATGGGACAGTGCTTTATTGTTGACAGTCCATCCTTTTGGTACAAAGTTGCTAAGAAGTGTGTTCTTGAGTTCTACAGTTCCTTGGGCATCCCATATACCCCTAGACCCCATCCAAGTTGTTAACCCCTTAATAAAAACCACTAAAAAACAGCTGAAGGAATGTTTGAGAATACAAGTGTAGAAAATGCATGTTGCCTGGCTGTGCAGGGCTTAGGAGAACCCAATCAAATCCAGCGGCCTTATGAGGGTAGTGCTACACTAACATCAGAAAATTCACAATACACAGATAACTTCACATGGTCAATATGGGGCAGTTGCATGCACTTACGCTGTATAACTTCCTATCTCTCTGGTTTTTGCACCACTAATCATGTTCAGTGTTGCATTGCAGGTTTAAATCTGATTGGCAGTTCTGAGAGATTACAGACTAAAGGATGTGGGGTGAATTAGTACACTGCAATTTCTGTGAAAAGAAACTACTTAGCAGGTAGGGTGTGTTCCATATGTGCATCCCAAGTCCTATATTTTCATTTATGGTGGAATGTGCCTCTAAAGAGAGGGCTCAAATAAGGCAGTACGGCCAGCCCTCCTGTCCCGGTCCCCATCAGTTCAAAAGGGGGGCCCAGGCACCTGATGACCAGGAGGGCTTGCTGTACTGCCTTATTGCTCACACTTATGACTTTTTTGCCTCCCCTGCCTTTCCTGAGTGAACTCAAAGAGCGATCAGCACAGATAGCACCTGTGTCCACTCACCACTGAAGAATAGCAAAGTGTGTTTACTATGCTTCAGTTTGTGAATGAACAGGAAGCTACAGAGCGCTTCCTATGCATTCATCTGTGCAGCTGAGGCTACAGAGAAAGGGACTGAGGAATCTGTGCCCTCAGTCCATTTCTCAGTCTCAAAAGTCTGTTTAGACCCCTGATATTTCACCAATGGCCTCCCATAAGGGCAGTTTAAAAAATAAATAATAAAATCCTGAAATAACATTCAAAAAATTTAAAACTCTAAAAAATTTTGAAAAAAGTGGTTAAAAAGCCTAAACATTTTTTTTCACCTTACTGCATTCCTTGCATTAAGTTAAGAAATGTTTAGGCATCACTATTTCCCCTTCACCCCCCCCCCCCCCTTTTACTTACCTGAACCCTCATTCGATTCAGCACTGTGCACATTTGCAGCTCTTCTCTCCCCTCACTTCTGGGTCTCACTGGTTGTGCTGAGGCGGTGGGAGCCATTGGCTCATGCTGTTGTCAAACAAAGCCATTGATGAGAGAGCAGGAGGTAGGGTCAAGTCATGTTGTCTATGTCAATAAACACAGACAGCAAGGCTTGGGAGAAAGTCCATTCAAATGCCCCCCATAGAAAGCTGCTATTCACTTGAATGAGTATTGTTCAATGAGGGTATAATTTCTACCAGGGCTGCAAAGCATAGCATAGTGGCTGTGGCATTTTAGCGAAAATATCATTTGATATGTTCAGAGAGCTCCATGATTTGTAACAGCAGCCTTGCTTATCTAACACCTGCCAAAGCATTTTTCAGCATGTATAGAATTGATGAAAGTCAGGATGTCTATCACCCCCTGTGCCTCACCCTCTGCCCCAGTAACACCAGGACAACACAGGAAGCAATACAAATCTGACAGATGTTCCAATCCCAACACACTCTACTAAATAAATATGCTCCTAACCAGGGGCGGACTGACAACTCATTGGGACCCCGGGCAATAGGGGATCATGGGGCCCCTGTGTCCTTGCCCAAACTAAAAAAAGCCTATGAAAAAGGTACCAGGGGCATCTCATGAGGCCCTCTACTGACCCCGGGCAGTGCCCGAGTTTCCAAATGGTCAGTCCGCCCCTGCTCCTAACCCATCTTCTATTTATATCAAAGTAAAACAAAAACTGTTTTGCTGGAGTTTTGCTGTAGGCCTCTGAGTCAAGTTTTGCCTTTGTCAGTAAGGTCCACCAGTTTGCATATGGCTACTGTAAGGAAGTAGGTTTGTAGAAGTGTTTCATGCCATTATGTGTTGACATACTAAATGACAACTAAAGGTATGCTTGGCAGACCTGCAGTAATGTTTTAGTCTCTGCAATCGCTCCGCTGGTACTATGCAGAGAATAGGGAGGCATCTAGGCCTAAAGTAGGCCTTAGACATGAAATTTCCAAAATGCTCTAAAACATTATTGGAACAGCCAAATTCAGCATCTTCCACCACTTTCTCCTTGATTCACTATATTATGTTTGTAAGGTGAAATAATATTTTGAGTTAAGATTTGAGATCCATACAATGATTCTGTTGAAGTCCTATAATAATTATGTTAGGGGCACAGCCATATACACTATTGGGACGCCTGCCTTTACACACACACAAACTTTAATGGTCATTATTTCAGAAGCGCATTTGTGAGGTCAGGTATTGATGTAGGACAAGACGGCCTGGCTCGCAGTCTCTGCTCTAATTCATCCCAAAGGTATTCTATTGGGTTGAGGTGCAGGCTAGTCAAGTTCCTCCACCCCAAACTCTCTCATCCATGTCTTTATGGACCTTGCTTTGTGCACTGGTGTGCAATCATGTTGGAACAGGAAGGCGCCATCTCCAAAGTGTTCCCATAAAGTTGGGAGCATGAAATTGTCCAAAATGTCTTGGTATGCTGATGCCTTAAGAGTTCCCTACACTGGAGCTAAGGGGCCAAGCCCAACCCCTGAAAAACAACCACACACTATAATCCCCCCTCCACCAAACTTTACACTTGGCACAATGCAGTCAGGCAAGTACTGTTCTCCTGGCAACCGCCAAACCAAGACACGTCTATTGAAATGCCAGACAGAGAAGCGTGATTTGTCACTCCAGAGAACATGTCCCACTGCTCTAGAGTCCAGTGGCGGCGTGCTTTATACTACTGCATCCGGTGCTTTGCATTGCACTTGGTGATGTAAGGCTTGGATGCAGCTGCCTGGCCATGGAAACCCATTCTATGAATCTCACTATACACTGTCGTTGTGCTAACCTGAAGGCCACACAAAGTTTGGAGGTCTTTAGCTATTGACTCTGCAGACAGTTGGCGACTTCTGTGCTCTGCACTTCAGCATGCGCTGTCCCGCTCTGCCATTTTACGTGGCCTACCACTTTGTGGCTGAGTTGCTGTTGTCCCCAGTTGCTTCCACTTTGTTATAATACCACTAACAGTTGACTGTGGAATATTTAGTAGCAAGGAATTTTCACGGATGAAAATAAAAATGCAATTGGCGCAAGAGAATTTGTAGTGGACATAACGTTCACTCAGCAAACCTTAAACAAAATAATCCAGTAAACAGAAATTAAGATATATAATCGTACATGCCAGTAATCGTACATGCCAGTAATAAAGGGGCAACAAGTAGATGATGCAACTTTAGTGGTGAGGAAAGGGAGGGGGGGGGGGGGAGGGGGGTAGGGAAAGGAGGGGAAAAAAGGCCTTGTGATGCAAACAGTACTGGATTGAGATAGATGGTATATATGTGTATACATATATATACAACGCTGCAATGTAGACACCGTCGTGAGGCTTGCACTTTCTAGAGTAAACCGGACTCTGTGGTAAATGGAGAAGAAAGAGAAGTGCGCCAGACTAAGTGCAGTATGAATATAAAAGTTTATTGCACACAAGATTATAAAAACTCACAAGACGTGGGTAGATATCAGGCATCAATATATAAGGAGGAGGATGTCATCTGTGCTGCACCTCACAAATGGATGGCTGTAATGTCAAGGTGTTGCGTGGCTGGCGCTCTAGGCGGGTCCCACAGGAGGAAGCGAGGATGGCAGGCGCAGTAACCGGGAGTCGCGGCGCAGATAAGAACCGGGATCCAGGGCAGTCACTGCTGATCTCTCACATCAGCGTGGGTACAGTAGCCAGCTTGAGGCACATCCAAGATGGCCACCGGGCAGGAAATGACATCAGAACGTTGCTGGAATCCTCCAAGGGGGCGGTGACGCGTTTCTAGGCAACCTGCCTTTTCATCAGACCTGATTGGCTAGTGGAATGAGCCAATAAATAAGGAGAGGAGGAAGGGGTGGGGCAACTGAGGGCGGGGTAGTGAAATTAAAAAAAATGTATAATGCATACAGGCTTAACAAGCAGTGGTGGAAAACATAAGAAATAAACGGTGAGCAGCTGCTTTCTGTAGAACATGTGAAAGATAGGAAGAATAGAAGGAAAGGAAAGAAATGGGGGAAAAAAAAAAAAAAAAAAACGCATGTGGAAGATAAAAGATTACACAGGAAATATTTAGTTATAAACGTTATTACTATGATGTGGATTGTAAAGGGTAAGATGGGCAGGTAAGAAGGTGGAATATGAAAGGGGGGGGGGAAGACAATCAGGGAAAAAAAAAAAAAAAAAAACCCACAAAAAACGCATGTAAAAAAAAAAAAAAAAAAAAAAAAAAAAAAAAGGGAAGTGGTGGGAATTGAAGTATATACGATAAAAAATAATAAATAATAAAAAAGATATGAAGAATAAATTAAAATAATTTTTTTTTAAAATAAATTTTTTAAAAAAAAATTAAATAATCGTGTGTATCTCAATCTCTTCATTGAGGCCCCTAGGTGCAAGGGTATCTAAAGTAAAAATCCAATAGGTCTCCTGTTGGCATAATAATTTGAAACGTTCAACTGGGGGGAGATGGTCTGGTATAGCCTCAATGACCCATACTTGTAGATGGAGAGAGGATTTAGAATGAAACTCTGAAAAATGGCGAGGAACACTATATTTAGTAATGCCATCATCAACTGACCTCCGGTGCTCTCCAAATCTTTTTCGCAGTGTTCTAATGGTACGTCCCACATATAAAAGGCCGCACGGGCAGGACAAACAATAAATGACATATGTGGAAGAGCAATTATAAAAGGCTTGGAGGGGATAGACTTTTCCATTAATTGTAAAATTTTGTTGGCCATGCTTCACATGGGCACACGTGAGGCAGAGCGGTTTGTTGCAGCGGAACATCCCAATAAGTGGGATTAGTACCGGTCTATTGTGAATAGGAGGGGATTTCAGGGGGGGAATTTTACTAGGTGCAATTTTATTCTTAATGTTAATTGCTCTTCTATATACAAATGTGGGGGTAGGAGGCATAATCATTTTAAGGTGTGGATCTTGATGTAAGATAGGCCAGTGTTTCTTCAGGATGGATTCCATTTTGTGATGTTTAGAATGGAACTGTGTAATGAAACGGATATTGTTGTTGTTCGATGATTGCGGCTTAGGTGGGGGGATCGTGTCTGATAAGTAGGTGAGATATGCTTGTTCCACTAACTCAGAGGGATATCCTTTTTCTGTAAATTTTTGTTTTAATTCAATGCTTTGGGCTTTGTAGTCCTTAAGTAAGGTACAGTTGCGTCGAAGTCTGCAAAACTGCCCTTTGGGTATATTTTTGAGCCATCTCGGATGATGACAGCTAGTATAATGAAGAAAGGAATTACCAGCGGTTGGTTTGGTGTAATTTTTAGCTATAATATTAGAGTCCGAGTGGCTAAGTTCCAGGTCAAAAACTTAGTGAGGTAGGGTCCATAACGTGGGTAAAAGAGAAGGTTTGAATGGGTTATTGTTACAGTGTTGAATAAAAGATGCAAGAGAAGTGACAGGGCCGTCCCAGATGATGATAATGTCGTCTATATAACGACCATAGAACACCAAATGGGCAGCAAAGATGTTATTACTCCAGACATAGCGATCTTCCCAGAGGCCCATGGTGAGATTGGCATAGCTAGGTGCAAAATTAGCGCCCATGGCTGTGCCCGTTTTGCAGAATTTTGTACACAAAAATGGATCAAACTTTTAATCATGTATAGAGATGATAGGTTCCAGATACTCAAAAAATACTACCTTACAACTTATTTATCAACTTCAGTCTCTTACACCCACACTTCCACTAATCTGGCTTAAAACACTTAAACGCAATACTAAATATAGGGAGGACTCGCTCTAGGTACCAAATTAGGTAAACTTAGGAGAGACCTGGATGATTATAACCTTAATAGAGTCTTCAATTGGAAGAAACCTAAAACTGTCATTCCCATTTTTCCTCCTTCTTCCCTTCCCCCCATCCCCAGTTTACTACATATATCTTTACCTCCCAAACATATACCATCCCTTTTTAAAAAATACCACTACTCGTAACCATCCACCATTTCGTTCCCCTGGCATTATTAGTAATAAACCTACCTCCTCCTCCAGATGGCATAGTAGGCCAGTCCATCCAAAATCATTACTCCCTAGGTACAGCCATTCCATCACAGTACCTACTAAACATCATTTATCTGTTCGGCCCCACTCATCACTTCATACCCACCACATCCCCCATCCTATACCCCAACACACCACACACCCGCACTACTCTTACCACCAACCATATTAGTCATATATCTACAGTTAATGCTACCACCAATTATTCCCCTGAACAGCCCAGCAACATTGAGGTCCCTTTTTTAGATCAGACCCCCCGCTCCAGCCTATTAAAAAGAAAACACGACGAAGAGGCAGGAGAGGGGGTCGACACAAACCCAAAAAAACCTGTCAAAATCAGGAAACTATAAAAGTTTATAACCTTTCATCCATCACATTAACAGATAGTGAACTGTCACTACTAAAAAGAGGCCTCAATTTTGCACCGACTACTACACCTAATCCTTTTACCCTATTCAAAGACCTCAATAAATTCACCCGCAATCTTACTCTCAAAAGACATTTTCAGCTACAGGCCCTTAAGAACGCCAAAACATCATCTCTATCCCCTAACACCACCATTGTGGAAACAGATCCTTCAATTGACCCTCAGGCCCTAGACTTACTAATGGAACTCTGGGATGACGGAGACCCAGATGACACCTTTCTTCTGTCTCAATATCCTCCAGATTCTCCCCGTATTAGACATACAAATCTAAAACCTCCATCCACATTCAACCCAACTTATAATAAGGGTCCCTACATAGAGACTTTTTTTCAATGGTACACTCTGATCTCAAAATCCTCTGTTCTGAAAACACTAAATTTACATCTAACCTCAACCACTCTGAATTCTTAGCCCTCAAAACCCTTAGCAATAACTCTGATATTATCATTAAGACAGCTGACAAGGGGGGGAGGGATAGTCATCCAAGATAAGGTCGATTATTTTAATGAAGCCAATCGTCTGTTGTCTGATTCCAACACCTACCTTAAATTAGCCTCGGACCCTCTTCCTAAATACATTCTAGAATCGAATGATATCATCAAAATTGCCACCCAGGAAGGAATTCTCTCTAAATCAGAGGCTTCTTTTTTCCGGAGAGACATATTCAAAACTCCATATTTTTATCATCTCCCAAAAATCAGGTCTGATGAAAAGGCAGGTTGCCTAGAAACGCGTCACCGCCCCTTGGAGGATACCCAGCAACGTTCTGATGTCATTTCCTGCCCGGTGGCCATCTTGGATGTGCCTCAAGCTGGCTACTGTACCCACGCTGATGTGAGAGATCAGCAGTGCCTGCCCTGGATCCCGGTTCTTATCTGCGCCGCGCGACTCCCGGTTACTGCGCCTGCCATCCTCGCTTCCTCCTGTGGGACCCGCCTAGAGCGCCAGCCACGCAACACCTTGACATTACAGCCATCCATTTGTGAGGTGCAGCACAGATGACATCCTCCTCCTTATATATTGATGCCTGATATCTACCCACATCTTGTGAGTTTTTATAATCTTGTGTGCAATAAACTTTTATATTCATACTGCACTTAGTCTGGCGCACTTCTCTTTCTTCTCAATTTTCACGGATGGACTTATTGCACAGGTGGCAACCTATCACAGTACCATGCTTGAATTCACTGAGCTCCTGAGAGCGACCCATTCTTTCACAACTGTTTGTAGAAGCAGTCTTCATGCCTAGATGCTTGATTTTATACACCCGTAGCCATGGAGGTGATTGCAACACCTAAATCCAATGATTTGGAGGGGTGTCCTAATACTTTTGGTAATATAGTGTGTGTATATATATATATATATATATATATATATATATATATATATATGTGCAAAAGCAGACCATTTTTTTAGCCTCTCTCTAGATGAGAAGAATAAAATTCTCCAGAAAGTCTTGTTTCTGTTTAATGCAAGATATTATGATTGGCCAGTGGTGTCAATGTTATCCCTCTAGTGGCTGGCTGGGTTTAAAGGCCTCAGGTCATCATATTTAGAACTCAAACTGACATAAAAAGAG